TATAATATATAATGTAATATATATATATATATATATGAACACACACATATACACCACACACACATATTTTTCTATATATGATACCAAAGAGCCAATTTAAGAATATAACTAATATACTATGTACAAGAACATAAAGTCACATTAATTTTGTAAAATCTAACGTGCAGATCCAACAAAAATCCATTTTTGCAGGATAGTCGGTGCACCGCGGTGACTGCTTAGTATTCGAGACATTGTTTATATCATAATTGGTTCTCTGAGATGATTATGTGACAACTCACGAACATACATACTAATAGCGAATTCGATTGGATACACTAATGCCAACTAGTGTATATTAAAACCGTTGTATACTGATTTTTTCTGAGTGAAAAAGTGCAAATATTTCGAATTATAAAATACATATTTGATCTAACACAATAAAGTGAAGATTTCAGGGTTTAATCCGTTCCTATATCTATATTAAATACACATCTTTTTATGTATCTCTATCAGTATACGATAGTTTTAACGTGTAACCGAATTCGTTATGAATCATTATATAGAAATTGACATTCACGTAAAAATATCCTACTACGTGCAACGTTTTACAAATATTCTGTATATATACACTTAATCTTTTTTCTTGAAACTATCCAAGTCATCTTTGACGATTTTTACAATCGTCATTAATTCGTCCAATGTTTATACATTTATATATAATCATTTAAAATTCATATTGTATTCATCCGATATCGCGTTTCATTTTGAGACAAATAAATATCTCGTTTAATCATATCACGCTTTTTTCTCCTTGAAAAAATAAAAACTGGATTAATAGTAGAAGTCTGCGAATCAGAATCAGTTTAAATCGAATCGAATCATAGTGGATTTGGATCATTTTGTTTCTAAATTTGAGAGATTCGAAACCAAATAAGTTTGAAATTTTAAATTCACCTATTTTGTTTTATTTTAATGTAAATCTAGGAAAATTAGATTCGTTTTTAAATCAAAGATTCGATTCGACGCAAAAATTTCAAATTCGATTTAATTCGTTTTCGAAAATACTGAGATTTGATTCAATCTCACAAATCTTTCATTCGCACACATTCTAATTATATAACAAACGTTATTAATAAAGATTTTACGACACAAATGTTAATCATATACAATATTAATTGCAACTAACAAATACTCTAAGATAAAGTTCGCACAGTAATTCAATATTGTACTTTTTGCCTTCATTCGATCAACTCAGTAAGCCAAAAGTAGAACTTCATGTATTAAATTATAATAATAAAAAAGTAATATTAAAATAATGTCATTATGGAGTATAATCAGATCGACTTTTAATCTATTCACTCCATTTTTTTTATTATGTAATCATATTGCAACAATGTGATGGATATATAAAAAATTGTACCATGTTTACATGTACTTTGTATTTTTCTCTTCGATCCAACTTCTGTCATAGTACTTCCTCGAAAAATCTATAATTTTATTGATACTATATTTGAATATAATTCAAATAGACCAGGACTCGGCACGCTTTAGAACTTTCGGCCAATTCGAAAATCGGCCGAAAGTTACAAAGCGTGCCAAGCCCTGAAATAGACCAAACAAAAAATTTCAAACGAAACAAAAGGTACATGGTGATGAGCTGCACACGTTGGATACAAAATAAATGATTTATATATTATGATAATTATATGTATACGCGTGCGTATGTGTGTGTGTGTGTGTGTTTTGTGTGTGCGTGTTTTGTGTGTACGTGCGTGTGTGTACTACGTGTACACATACGCATGCACGCATATAAATATATATATATATATACAAACACATTGTGATATTTGTCTTGTTATTAACACAATTTAGTTCAATTATTTATCAATACAAATTAAAACATAAAAAAGATGAAACCTGAGTCTACAGTATAATACAAAGTTCCAGAAATAGTTCCCGAGCGATGTTAATCGAATTAAAAGATATTCAATACATCCTTCAATACATGAAACTCGAAAATTCAAGTGCAGCTAAGGAAATTATATGTACTCGAAGAATTTTGCGATGCTCATCAGAGAATCGAAGAATACAATAGGGAAAAAGGGAAAGAGTGATGAGACAGCGGTGGCAATAAAGGGCCCATAATGATCGTTGCCTCTTGTAAAACAACAAACCTCATCCGTGATAAATAATTATGCGATTTAATGAAACAAATATACTAAAGTAGAACAAATCTCCGCGCCGTTCCTCGGCTCGGATAAATTATTAAATCAAATGTGTATCGGCACGTGCACCAATAACTCGGCACGACTGGAAAACACCGCGGAGCACATCTCGCATGTATACTCTACTCTGTCTGGTATTATCGTTTCCGGGACATCGTCTACCGACGCAATAACACTATGTATGGCGAGCATCCTCGGCGGCGCAGACTCCACTTTGACACTGAGCTTAACGTTGTTATCTCTTGCCTCATTGTCCATCTCGTGCACAGTGCTGTGTGGCAATATGCTCTCCTCCTCCTCGTCATCTTGAGCAGTAACAACACTCGCTTCAAAAGCTACTTCCAGATTACTGCCATCCACTGCGTGCTCCATCAGTTGTATATGATCGTCATTGGTCTCCATGGTATTATTATTGTTATTATTATGTAATTGTAACAGCTGCTGCTGCTGCTGTTGCTGCTGTTCTTGTTGCTGCTGTTGCTCTTCTGTTACTATTAATGTGTTCAATTCCTGCTTTACTATTTGCTTCTGCCTCTTGGTCCTCTTCGTGGTAATTGATTTTCTTTTGTTCGATGACTCCTGAGTTTTACTAAGAGCTAGGATATTACCATTGTTATTCCTGTAACTGTCACCTGTGGCCTTTTGCATACCTGGCTCTTGCTTAATATTCGCTAATAACTGCTGTGTCGTAGACGCATCCTCCTTTGATGATTTCGTTGCGAACGTTGCCGGTAAAAGTTGCGATTTACCCTCAATATGGTAACTAACATTCTTTGTACGTGGCCGATTCCGCTCACCACCCGGAAAAATGCCAGACTTGTGCTCATTCGGCATCACTTTAGGCGTTCGGGTCACCATTGTTTTTGTCTTCTGGCCCTTTTTCGCGCCATCGCTACCCACTTCCACCGGTACCCGCGTCTTCTGTGTGTGTATCATCTTCGGCCGGCCTGACTGATTCGATGTTTGCGTTTCCTGCTTCTTTTCCTCCTTGCGCAACTTCTTCTTTGAAACTTTCGATTTGGATGCATTTAATTTGGAGTTACTCACAATAGAGTTTATATTCTGTAGAGAGCTTTCAAAACTTTTTAATACATTCTGATAGCCTTCCTCAACATTCGATCGTTGTTTGTTTTTTTTACCAAGTTTCCGCTTCGTGTTGTCTTCTGAATCAGAACCGCCAGTACCAGTACCAGTACCAGTACCAATACCAGTACCAGTACCAATACCAGTACCACCACTCGGTCGTGGTAATATCGGTATATTACCGCTACGAGTGATACCGCTTCCAGTACCTTCCACGATGTACATAAACTCGTTTCTACGTACCATTGTATTTGTCTCAAGAGGTTTTGCTTTGCGTCTTCTCTTATATTTGCGCGGTCCAGTTTGTGGCTGGCGTTTCAGCGCAGTGTTGTCGTCGCAATGCTGCACTATATGTGCCACTACCTCTTCGGAAGTGCCGAATGAATTGCCACATACCTTACACAAAAACGGTGCTATAGTGCCCATGCATTTTGGATCCGGACCAGAATGATGAGCGCGCACGTGTTCTCGGAGAACCACCTGTAGGAGAAACAAATTTTATATTTGATTTTAGGTTTATAATCAAAACTGAATTGTATAATTTTAGAACATGATTTATAATAATTATTCCATACTTTAAATTATGCCAAACAGCAATATATATAAGCACACATATATACATATATATATGTACATATATATATTGTATATACATATATATATATACATATTGCTACCAAATTACAATTTATTTCGGTTTTGGATAATGTGGTTAATTATTCACTTTTCAAATCATTAACGCGTGAAGTTTCAAAAAAGAAAGTACAAGATATTTATAGTTTAATGTGCGTTACTATTTTTCTTTTAACTAACGCATATTTGTTATTTGTACAATACTTTCACACATTTTGACTCCTGATCAACTTACTCTCTGATTAAACGCCCGAGGGCAAATCGCGCATCCGTACGGTTTCTCGCCAGTGTGAATGCGCTCGTGTTTCCTCAAGGTACCACCGTCTGCGAAAGCCTTCCAACAAAATCGGCAACCATAAGGTCTCTCGCCAGTGTGGATACGTATATGGATCTGTTGTGAGCTGCGGCTACCAAAGGTTTTCCCGCATTCGCGGCATGGGAAAGAACGGCCACCTAATTCCCTGTTATGTGAATGACGGTGGCTTACGAGAGCGCGTCCATCAGGGAATTCTTCGCCGCATTCGTCACATGCTACCATTTTATTGCGATGTGATACCATATGTCTGTAACACACAATATGTATTTTCGAAAAAATATAAGATAATCAAAAGGCTCAGTTGAATAAATCACAAAAATAAACAAGATACCAATGTGATATATTTTCGATTAAATAAAAAAGGTGTATTTTTAGGAGAGAGATTCTGATAAATAAAATATTCTAATGCAAAACTACAATTTTTTAATATTATTTTATTTATACCTTCGTAATCGGGCTTTACTGTGGAAGCGTTTTGTGCACTTTGTACAACCGAAAGTCTTATCGACGTTATGTATCCACGAGTGCTTCAATAAACTGCGTTTGTCTTTGCACGTTTTTCCACACAGCGTACACGTGTTTGGCGGTGCATCGTCAGCATGATTCTGTCGCACATGCTCTGCTACTTCTGCTTCATCACGGCATCTTGCTCCGCACAATAAGCAACGACGACTAGGAGATCTTGTTTCAAATAAATTATTAAATAAGTATACACATATACGTTATAAATGCGTCTGAAATTTATTCAATTCAAAGAAACAGAGTCGTTTCATATATATAATCAATATTATTACTACATATTTTTTTCTACCAATTCTAACTCGACCAGTGAATTATGTTAACAAAATATTTGCAAAATTAAATATTACTAATTTCGCAGTATATTGATTATTAATAGTAAGTTGATAAAATTTAGTGATACCTTGAAGCATGAAGTTCCGCATGTGCCAACAATGCTAGAGCCTCCTCGAACTCTTCTCCACAAACATTGCACATGTGATGCTGACTGGACTCTACTGTAACCATCTCCGACTTCACGTGAATTCTATACATATTAAATGTTACATGAACTTAAATACCACACCCATGATAATAGGTGCGTTCGGTTATCACTTACAGTGCTTGTAAGCATCATTTGTCCTTATTTAATTTGTTAAATAACAAGGATTAATTGATTTACAAAGTGTAAACATGAAAACGGAACGCACCCAAAATGTTCAATTATTAAAATTTATATTTTCTATTCATGAAATTTATAAACTTTTAACTCGAACATAATACAATCCTGAGTACTCAACCAAGAACTCCGTGTTGATGATAGTGACACTGAATTAGTCGGCGGCCTGGCAAAACTGGTAGTTACACACATAATTACGAGCTCATGTCGTGTGCTCATTTTCGGGCCGAAGACGAGCACACAGACATGGGGTCATGCTTGTGTGTGTATAGCGCCTCGCCACGGTAAAAGGCTGAATTAATACGTATGGAAAAGTGATATTTTGACGACAAAATTTTTGTTGCGTGCCATTTCGCTTATTTGTGAAAATATGACTTGCCTCGTACCGTGAAAGTCCTAAAATGGGCAAAAACTACAGTTATCTTGAAATTTTATACGTAAAAGCGTATATTTCACTCGTTTTATTAGTTGATAAACTGTATGTTTCTGTCAGAGTATAGGTTCATACGTTTATATGCTCTTTATGACCATTTACTGAGTGATTATTAATTAAAGGAAGAAAGGACAGTTTCTGCCCATTTTTACAAGTATTTTTAAGCTTGTATGGAGCTGTCTCACCCGATACCGGAATCGAGGAGGAACCGAGGAGAAGACTATGGGAGACGACGAGCCGGAAACTCTCGGAGGCAGGGAAACGCAGGTCGCTCCATACAAGCGATCTCGTCTTTACATTTATCTAAATTATCTTTATTTAAAAATGGCACGCAACAAAAATTAATGTGCATTTCTTGCTTATAATATTACAATTCCAACATGGCCGTTTTGACTACTCAGGAGCCTTAAATAAGATTTGAATCAAATTTTCGAGGTTCAAATTTGATAATCCTGATATTATACAAAAGGTATTAAAAGATACCAAACGGAAAACTTGGAATTCAAAAATTGAATTAAAATTTTATTTCATATAAGAGTGTCTATGTACGGAATTGTATTATCATTTTACTATCATCAACAACTATCATTATATTTGGAATTTATATCCAAACATTTATGTTTATTGAGACAGGTAAAAATTTTTTAATATTTTGTACAAATTTAAAAGACTTACTTCTGATGGCGTTTCAGTAAATCCAAGCGATGGAATGATACTGCACAAGTGCTACAATAAAATTCGCCAATTTTTTCGTTATATTCGCCAGTGTAAGTCGCGTCATTGTCATACTCCTCTGCATCAGATGTTTGGGGAATGGTACCACCATGCTTGGTACGCATATGGTCCCGCAGACTGTTAACATCCCAAAACATATCACCACACGAGGTACATTCAAATGGACTGTCACCACCGTGAACACGAGCATGTGATGCTAGTGCCTTCTCTCTAGCAAAGCCAATGCCACAAGTTTGACAGACATATGGCTTTGTTGAATCAGTGACAGGCCATTGCTGCTGCTGCTGTTGTTGCTGCTGCTGTTGTTGTTGCTGCTGCTGTTGCTGCTGCTGCTTGCCTGTCACCTCCTCCATCTGCCATCTCGAACTAGATGCATAATTGCCACTGCGTGCAGAATAATCGTCGGTCAGCTCGTCCTCGTAGAATAATAACGCATCCTTGTAAGCATTGTCTGGTTCATACACATACTTGCCCATCTCTATCTTGATTTCCTCAATATTGCGTTTCGACATGTTGCCAGCAGCGGTGTTGTTCTTCCGTTTGCGCGGTGCACTTGATTGTACCTTTTTGCGCCTGCCTTTGTTACCACCGGTTGTTACTTCCTCTTCCTCAGCAACTAACGAGTCCTCATCAGGGTCGTCCTCGAGACCATCTTGTGATGACGGTGCATATGCATGGACCTTCAGATGATTATTCAAATCACATTTGCGTACGTAGCGAGATCCACATAAGTTGCAACCATATGGTCGATCTGTTTGATGTGCCACAATGTGATTCATCAAATTTGCCTTCTTTCGAAACCTACGACTGCAGTAGTCGCATGGATACGGCCGAGCGTTAGAATAAGAATCTTGATCAATTGGCAATGGTATTTCCATGTCATCATATTCCAGGAGATTTTCAGTCACTTTAGCCTCTGCAATCTCAATCCTTAAAAAAAAAAAAATTTTATTAGTAGACAGATTATAAAAAAAATCAAAGAAATAATTTTTTAATTCATATATATATATACATAAAGATACAAAAACATTTAGATTAAAACAATGAAAAGTTTAAAACTTTGTTAAAGAGAAATAAGTCATTTTAAATATATTCTTAATTATTGAAGTAGTATACACTTGTAAGATAAAAATGAAATTGATCTATATTTGAAGTAGATAGAAAATTTCAATGTAATCTAATGCAGCAACAGACAATTCTTTCGAAATAAATCTCTTGTGCAAAGTTCTCTGCAACTGTTCTCTTTCTGTCTTAATTTAAAAAAAAAAAATAAAAATAAACTATATATATGTAAAGAATTTAGATTCTAATGAACTGATCTTTCATATATCTGTACTTACCCATCGTCTGGACCAGATCTATCCCAGTTATCAGCTATTACTTCCTCAGTGACTTGTATATTCAGATAGTCATGTCCCTGATCCTGTGGAACTATATAGATCGACTCCATATCATTGGATTGAGGTACCATCAGTATCTCAGTCTCAGGTATCACATCAGGAACAGTTTCGACAGTTTCCTCCACTGCTACTTCCTCACAGGCACCAATTACCTCCTCCTCTGATGCGACCAGTTGTGCCTCCAGGCCGCATATCACCTCTCCATGGAGCTCTACATCTCCTACCCATTGTAGGTTCAAATCTCCAGCAACGTCCATTTTGTTCGGTCTTTAAACTACTTGATCACTGAAATTACAAGCAACATAAGAAATCGGTCAGACAGTCTTGCTTGGCTCTGGAGTATCGTCGTATGTGAACTGCACGATCAATCTCGCGAACTCAAATCAGATGAATAAAACGCTGGATTCACGAACCTGCTGCAGCCATACGATTAACAAGAATTCATTTGTTCACAAATTGCACGTTTTTATTGCAAAATGGCTCGACATTACGAGAATTCACAAGGCGATCTGTTTCAAGATTAGATTCCACACGAGTGTGATCCTCCGTGGATCAGAGGTTACATCATGCGGCAAGTCGCCATGAAGGAGTTTGCGGCGTAGGTGCGCGGACGACGTTCGCGTATTCCTTCCGTGAAGTACAACGGGAAGGCGTTATGAGATTACGGGTAACACGCTACGGCGAATAATTATCGGCAGACTAAGATCCCCCTCTTCCCCCTCCACCAAGCAAGTCGTCACCATTGCAGGACAAACGATGATCGCGCGAATCCACAACAGCGCGATCGATCCGAATTTGGCCGATCAGCGTCGGATCACGTCTTGACACGGGCCTGAGGTTATAATTATATAGGTTATAGCGAACGTTAGAGGTTATAACGAAAGCAGGACGTGCCGTGTTCCTCGGTAACGTGGCGTTGGCGGGGAATGACGGTGGCGTCGTGACGCCGAACGAGGAGTGTCGAGTGGCGCGACGAGCGGTAGTGGCGACGACGATAACGGCAGAGCGGTAGCAACGGCATCCAGACGACAATACCAAGCCATCCGACCGCGAACTTCACAAGCGAGGCCGCCTTTCGCCTTTAAGAGGAAACCCTCTGTCTTTTTCTCGCTCGCTCACTCTCTCTTTCGACGAGAATGAAACACGCGCGCGCGCGCGCGCGGAGCTCGAGCGAAGGCGCAGCGTCGCCGCGCGGACACGCCGAATGCGACCGGCGAGACGCGAACGTGGAAATGAACACGACGGTTATGGAATGGTTCTACTTACTCTTTCAAAGTCCTGAACGTAAAAACGCACCCTGTAACCTAACCAAAATGTGCTCAGTTTCGCGATCACGACGGCAGCGTCGACCTTCGCTTGTTTTCAATCCTGGTGGGGGATGCGCGTAGAAATAAAACGTGACAAAATGGCGGTCCATGCGCGCGCGCGATCATGAGCTCTGGCATGAGTCGTGTGTAGATAAGATTAGAGTCTTATATAAAAAGAGAAACTACATCAAACCTCACCATCAGATTGGATCCCTACCATCGTTGGGCGCGTTTAGCGGACTCAACAGTTAAGTGAGCGCTCGCCGTTATTGGTGTATTCTTTTAGATCATCCAATTAGAATTTTAGATCTAGAAGAATACACCAATAACAGCGAGCGCTCACTCAACTGTTGAGTCCGCTAAAAGTGCCCATTCCCTACGCCGCCATATTTGGACTTTAGGGCCTCTTTCACCAACGCCGATTAACTTAATCGACGATTAGTCCATTGGAATTGACCAATCGCATTTATCATTTAGTTCCAATTCCAATGGACTAATCGTCGATTAAGTTAATCGACGTTGGTGAAATTGGCCCTAAGGCCGGAATCAGACTACGCATTGAAAATTGAGATTGAAGATCGAAAATTGAAATTTGACCAATGAGGATAAAGAAATTTAGCTCCTATTATTTTGATTAGCCAAAATTCAATCTCAATTTTCAATGCGTAGTCTGATTCCGTAAGGTCTTAAGCAAATCGATCAATCAATCAAGATTAACCCCCGTATTCATAATCAGACCTTATACAACTTAAGCTTCCTTAAGGATGTATTTATCTTTAGATACTCAGTAGCCAATAAAATAATTCGTAGATCATCTGAAGATAAATTTAAGGAAGCCTTAAGTATAAGGTCTGACTATGAATACGGGGGTAAGATTCACATTTTAATACGCTGAACTGTGATGGCTACTAAAATTTTTGTACTTGTGATGGCCATGAATCCGTATTTCTGAAAATTTGAATCTATTTGAATCCATTTCAATCCATTCTCAGATACTGGGTCCATATGCAGCACAAATCATTGCAGTGGCTTCAGCAGCATTTTTCTTCAGATGAAACGCGAAGTGGATGGAAAATCGAATATGTTCTTTGGTTATTGCCATCGTGAACACTACTGATTTTTGAGGTTATGTGCATCAAACGCCAAACTGTATGGCATTTTAGAAGGCCAAATGTTAACGCTTTAAAACCGCAAAAGGGCGGGAAGATATATAAAATTTAAATTGCTATTTCGGTTGTATGAAATCTAAAGCTCAGAACTTTTTTTGTACACCTAATATTTTCATTTCATATTTAACATAACGCATGGAAAATCGCACCTCCGTTCCTATTTTGATAAGATCCGTAATAATTAAAAATTCGAAAGACGAAATAATTATAATAATCGGATCCTCGGAAACTCGCGTTTCAATCCTGCAAAGTGGATTATACATTTAAATTTAAATCCTTAACTTTGAAAAGCGTCGATTAATCGATCGACTTTTTGCCCATCCCAATCGACCGTTCATCCGTCATCGTCGCTCGTGCGGTGCGGACGGTATTTCCTTTGATCCCGTGTTTAAAACATTCGCCCGTGTTATGCTGACTTTTTACATTTGGAAAACTAGGACAGGAAGCGATTGGCGGGGTTGACGAGATCGGGCAATAAGCTTTTATGCTTCGTGGGAAACGTTCGCTTGTGTTTCGAGATGCCTCTTGATAGTTTGAGACTCCGCATCTCCTATCTCGCCGTCGTTTTACGATCTCGTTCGTGATATTCCGACGATCTCGAGATCGTATCGTGATGTACGTACGAAATACGTAAATATTACTCACGTAGAAGTACATCCAGTCGTTTGCGGAGCACATATAACCTCCCGGACTGGGAAATCGATGCATAAGAAGCGATTGAAAAAGAAGATTGGATAGTGTACAACTGTGTTTACAAGTTTACTAGAAGTACAGGAAAGATAATTTAAATTAGATGAGGGAATAGAAGTTCCAGAGAGACGTGTGTCAAAGTATCACACGGAGTGATAGAAGAGATTAAACTTTGTCCTCAACCGAAGACTTTACGATAAACAAAGCTTCATCTTGTCTTCCTGAGGACAACTGCACGAGGGTGGCGCAATGACGACCGAGAAAGTCACTCTGGGCGACGCTCTGTCAAATGTTGACGTGCTTGACGAGTTCACGCTGCCGGACGAACAACCCTGTATAGAGGCTCAACCTTGTTCTGTTGTGTACCAAGCCAACTTTGACACCAATTTCGAGGACAGAAATGGCTTTGTGACGGGTATTGCCAAGTATATAGAAGAGGCGACTGTACACGCGAGTCTAGTAAGCTGATTTTTTTTATTACAAACTGACATGTGTACAATTCATTGTTAATTGGGATTAACTCTTGTTTGTAATATTTAGAACGAGTTGCTGGAAGAAGGCTTGGAACATGCTGTTATGTTATATACTTGGAGATGCTGCTCACGTGCAATTCCACAGCCAAAATCTAATGAGCAGCCAAACCGAGTGGAAATCTATGAGAAAACAGTTGAAGTGTTAGCACCTGAAGTGAACAAATTGCTGAATTTCATGTATTTTCAAGTAAGCTTAAACTGCTTTATATTGTTATATTTATTCTTTGTCACTGCACTAAATTGTGCTAAAATTTTCTATTTTACTTTCACAAAACTTCAAATACATATATGTCTATTTCATTTTAAATACAATTACTATATACTAATTGAGCTACAAAGAACAGAGCTACGTTTAACTAAACTATAATCAACTTAATCAATTGATTTATATTTGTATTTCAGAGAAAAGCAATTGAGCGATTTTCAGGAGAGGTTAAACGATTGTGTCATCACGAGAAAAGAAAAGATTTTGTATCTGAGGCATACTTGTTAACCTTAGGAAAATTCATCAACATGTTTGCTGTACTGGACGAATTGAAAAACATGAAATCTAGCGTAAAGAATGACTATTCCACATATAGAAGGTGATTTATAAAGAACGAGATTTTATTTAAATCTTTTTACTTGTTTTTATTTTTAAGTATGTTTTGTTTAATTTTTTTTAGAGCTGCACAGTTTTTAAAAGTGATGTCGGACTCACAGACACTGCAAGAATCTCAAAATCTGTCAATGTTTTTAGCAACGCAAAATAAAATCCGTGATACAGTTAAAGAGAATCTTGAAAAGATTGCAGGATATGAGGAATTACTCGCAGATGTAGTCAATATCTGTGTTCATATGTTTGAAACTAAAATGTACCTTACGCCTAACGAGAAGCACATGCTGGTGAAAGTAATGGGCTTTGGTTTATTCTTAATGGACAGCGAACTATGTAACATCAATAAACTTGACCAAAAGAAAAAATTGAAATTGGATAGAATTGATAGAATCTTTAAGAATTTGGAAGTAGTACCATTGTTTGGAGATATGCAAATTGCACCATTTAACTATATTAAACGTTCAAAACACTTTGACGCTTCAAAATGGCCACTGTCTGCGTCGTCAAATAGCATAAGCCCGCAAGCTGATCTTATGGTACATCTTCCTCAAATTAGAGAAGATCACGTAAAGTATATCAGTGAATTGGCAAGGTATATTTTGTTCATTGTCTCTTTTGTCTTAACTTGCTACCTGTTTTTGTAATACGTTTCACAATTATATACAGATATAGTAACGAAGTCATTACAACGTACAAAGAATGCCGAAGTGATACAGAAAATCGAGATACTGCGGAACTGGCATTACGTGGGTTACAATTACTTTCGCAATGGACTAGTGTTGTAACAGAGCTATACAGTTGGAAACTACTGCATCCCACTGACCATCACATGAACAAAGAATGTCCGCAAGAGGCTGAAGAATATGAAAGAGTATGATTAAATTATTATTATGAATAGATTATTATTCTATTTTAGTGTGTTTTACATTATTGTCGTTTATTAATTAAAAAAATTATTTTATTTATATCATTCTTCTTATATACTTAGGCTACACGATATAACTATTCTGACGAAGAGAAATTTGCCCTTATAGAAGTTATAGCGATGATTAAAGGATTGCAAGTATTAATGGCACGAATAGAGACTGTTTTTATTGACGCTATACGTAGGAATATATATGCTGAGTTACAAGATTTTGTACAACTTGCATTGCGTGAACCGTTAAGGAAAGCTATTAAAAATAAAAAAGATTTAATTCGAAGGTTAGAGCATAAATTAATTATGGTATAAATTTTCGATTTCTTTCTCATATGTAATATATGTTTCATGTATATGATAAATTATGTATATGTTCGAGTGAAGTTTATAGAAATTGCTTAATAGTTCAAATAACTTTAAGATTAAAAAAATAATCTCATATGTTATCTCTTTTATCTCTTTGTTTCAGTATAATTGTATCCGTTAGAGAAACTTGTGCGGATTGGCATTTTGGAGTAGAACCGCTCGGAGATCCTGCTTTAAAAGGCAAAAAAGATCCAGACAATGGGTTCGGCATTAAAGTCCCGCGAAGAAATGTTGGTCAGTCTTCCATATTAATACGCTGTATACATTTATTATTTTTATATCGTTATTGACTTTGTAAACTCATTACGATGAAACGAAATAGGACCGTCTTCCACACAATTATATATGGTGCGAACCATGTTGGAGTCGTTAATAGCCGATAAAAGCGGTGGGAAACGCACTCTGAGGAAAGACATCGATGGTCAATATCTCGTTCAAATTGATCAGTTCCATAAAACCAGTTTTTACTGGAGTTATCTTCTAAATTTCAGTGGTAAGTAGATGGATATTACTTTTAAATTCACAATTATTTTTTTATTAAAAAAATGTTCTCTTTGTTAGAATCTCTCCAAAATTGTTGTGACTTGTCGCAACTATGGTACAGAGAATTTTATCTGGAAATGACAATGGGTAGAAAAATACAGGTAAATAATGTTAATTTTTTAATTTGATAAATATTGTCTAGTTTTGAAATCTCCGTATAATTTGTTGATTAAAAAAATCAATAGTATAATATATGGACATCGTATCCATTTGATTTGAGCTGTGAACATGTAAAGATCTTCACCAATTAAAGGATATAAATTTTGCGACTTGTTTTAACATTTTTTCCCTGATTACATTTGAAGTTATTATAAAGCTATGATTATGAAAATAATCGATTTTTGTAATTTATTTCATGACTAGAAATGCCAAGTACGTCATCAGCATAACGAGGAGTGCAGCGACCTAATCACCATGGAGAAACGCATCCAGGTATTTCCCGTTTACTGTGCGTACGGTAGATAATTGATATTCCAAACATATCGGAAACTGTAAAGTTTAAAGCTCAGTTTCAGGTGTTATTTTATGCCTATCCCGTTGCAAAACATGCCACGTAAAGATATAATTTGTTATATTTTATCCAAACGTTTAATTGATAAAATGTTTCAGTTTCCCATTGAAATGTCTATGCCATGGATATTGACTGATCATATATTAAGAAGCAAAGAACCGTCAATGATGGAGTAAGTTTTTATATGAGTAAAATGATTAAAAAGTCAATATGTATATAATAATAATATTTATAAATTAGAATGTACACATACAAGTTTGTATCTATGATATATCATTGCTAATTTTATAGATATGTCTTATATCCTCTGGATTTATATAATGACAGCGCCTTATACGCATTGACGATATTTCGCAAACAATTTCTATACGATGAAGTGGAAGCCGAAGTGAATCTATGCTTCGATCAATTTGTTTACAAACTTAGTGAACAAATTTTCGCGCATTATAAGCAACTAGCAGCCAGTATTCTATTGGACAAACGATTTAGAGTAGAATGTGTAGCTCTTGGAGCATATTTACTTCCATATCCCCGCGCTAATAGATACGAAACGTTGTTAAAACAGAGGCATGTTCAGCTATTGGGAAGAAGTATTGACTTAAATAAACTTATAACACAACGCATTAATGCAGACATGCAAAAATCATTAGATTTGGCCATTAGTAAATTCGAATCCGGCGATATAACTGGAGTCGTGGTAAGCACACGTATCTACAATGTTTGCGCTGTAAATGAGCTTCTTTCAATTAATCGATAACTGATCCGGCAGGAGTTAGATGGATTGTTGCAAGTCAATCGCCTTACACATAAACTTCTAAGTAAGTGGCTCGCGTTAGACGAATATGATGCTATGTTTAGAGAAGCGAATCACAATGTTCTAGCCCCATACGGAAGAATTACTCTTCATGTATTCTGGGAATTGAATTATGACTTTTTACCAAATTATTGTTACAACGCCGCCACAAACAGGTACAAATACATAATGTTACATTAAATACATTTTGGATCATTGATTTGATATTACTAATATATATTATTTGACAGATTCGTCAAGTGTCGTGGTCTACAATTTGTTCAACCCGTTCATAGAGATAAACCGCCTCAAATGTCGCATCATTATCTCTGGGGTAGTAAACAGTTAAATCTGGCTTATAGCACTCAATATGGGCAATATACGGGATTTGTCGGTCCGCATCATTTTCGTACAATATGTAAACTTCTTGGATATCAAGGAATAGCTGTGGTTATGGAAGAACTTTTGAAGATCGTTAAGACCTTGATTCAAGGAAGCCTGCATCAATTTACGAAGACTTTGATGGAAGCCATGCCTAAAGTCTGCAAGCTTCCACGATATGATTACGGATCTCCTGGAGTTTTAGGCTATTATCACGCTCAGTTGAACGACATTGTGCAATATCCAGACGCTAAGACTGAACTGTTTCATAATTTTCGCGAATTTGGCAATACAATTCTATTTTGTCTCTTAATGGAACAAGCTCTATCGCAAGAAGAAGTGTGCGATTTGCTACACGCAGCGCCGTTTCAAAACATTCTGCCGAGACCTTACTGCAAAGGTGAGGAGCAGTATGTTACTTGGCATTATGAGCTAATTTGGGTAGAAGTAAAGAATAGTTCTGAAAATAAATGTTTATTATTTACGTATGCAATTTTCAGAGGGAGAGAAACCCGAAACGAAACAGAAACGGTTAGAAGCGAAGTATGCGGCTTTACAAATTGTTCCAAACGTAGATAAATTAGGTACTGCTAAGGTAAGTATAATAATGTGCAACGTATCTTTTCGAAGTATAGGTTGTATTTTTTTTCGACCTAATTTATGTACAATTTATTCTTTCAGCAAGCGATGATTGCCAGAGAAGGAGATTTATTGACACGCGAACGATTATGCTGCGGTTTGTCGATATTCGAAGTTGTGCTCAGCAGATTACGGAGTTTTTTAGACGACCCTATCTGGGTCGGGCCACCACCAGTAAATGGTGTAATGAATGTGGACGAATGCACAGAATTCCACAGGCTTTGGAGTGCGCTTCAATTTGTATACTGTATTCCCGTTGGTGATACTGAATTTACCGTTGAGTTAGTATAGCATTTAATACAATGTAACATGTTTTTTCTTGTATCGACAATGTAACAATGATTACGATTATTCTCTTTTGTAGAGAATTATTTGGTGAAGGTTTACATTGGGCTGGATGTGCTATGATTGTCCTTTTGGGCCAACAACGTAGGTTTGAAGCACTTGATTTCTGCTATCACATTCTTCGAGTGCAACGTGTGGATGGCAAAGACGAGAATGTTAAAGGAATAGTAAGTAATACAATATATATATATATATATATATATATAAAATATACATTAGTATAGCAATTTGCTTACATTTGAGCTAACATCATTTATTCTTAAAGCATTTAAAGAGGATGGTAGATCGGATCAGGCGATTTCAAGTATTAAACTCGCAGATATTTGCTGTGTTGAATAAATATTTGAAAAGCGGAGACAGCGACGCGGCAAGCGTGGAACATGTGCGCTGTTTTCAACCTCCGATACATCCTTCACTGGCTCACGCGCAACAGCATTATCATGCACCTGAATATTTACGCCAGATTAATCATCAGTAAATGATAAGTGTAAAACACTTATATTTTACATCTTGATTACATTAAAATGCAATTCAAATGGGATTCAAAGAAACAAAATAATTCCTCGCTATTTATGAAGGAATTAATATTTCTAGCTAAAAAGTTTCATATATTTTATATCACCTATGTCGAAATATCATTTATACTATCTATTTAATTCAATTGCTATAAATGTTTACCAGAACATTTTTTACAATTGAGGTAAGATTTATAGAATTATAAAAAAAAAAACTGCAAACGATGAATTTAAGAATTTAATAATCTATTCCTAAAGCACGTTTCAAGTATTAAACTCAAGATTTTAACTAATCTATTTAATAATACGTATATATATGCGTATACATATATATAGACGGACTTATATAATACTGTTGCTTTAATAGTTTATAACAGAACTGACATAGTATAATATGCTAGATATAAGTATAGCAATTTATTAATGTAATAGAATATGTTTGAGCTTATATTTTGTAAGATATTCCAAGTTTAATTAAAACAAAGTATTATATATTAATATTCATATCACATAAATATATGTAGTGTTCATATATCGATAATTATGTAATAATAAAAAATGCACACATTTTATAACATTACTCGTTCACTCATTTATTCCAATATATTAACTGATATTGAATGAATTTAAATATTATAAATGCCATTATTATTTTAAAACAAGGATTATTAAATCTACAATATTTTAACAATTGAACAGTACAAAATACGTTAAAATACTTTATTATCATTAAGATTACAATTCTGCAAAGAAATCGGATCGATTATGAATTTTACTACTAGGAAGATTGTGTTCGAGCCATTTCCGCTTTCCACCCTTTTGAGGTTCAGTGACGTTTAAACTTTCGAAATATTGTACATTCCAGAAGTTGATATCATTATCATGCGAAGAGGATGCTATTAACGTCCCGTCATTATTGATGTCGAGTGTCTCGACGGAAAAGTTATGTTGCCCAACTATACCAAGATGGCGATAAGGAAATAAACTGATTGCCCTGTTTGTTATACAGGCATGATATTATACAAATAATAAATGATATAATCTTTATATATTATAAAATATCCTATAATTCTCTCTTTATCACTTACCTGATTATTCCATCTTCTCCACCAGTTATTACCACATTTTCCGTAACAGGAATCATACAATTAATTGCCTTCTTTGTGGCATTTGGGAATTCATCCGAATGTAGTCCAAATTCTCCCCAATTGTATACATACATTTTCCCTTTATTACTAGCCGTTAATAATTTACTTTCCATTTTAAATAAGCCAAGACAGGTCAGCTCATCGCCGTGGTCCTCGGACTGTGTACGACACATGTATAAAATCGATTTTGTACTTTGCATGGTATGATTTATTAAATTATGTGTATGTTTTATAATACCTGTAGATGCAGTTTTCTTTCAGGTATGTTTATAGTCGTTAAACAGTCACCACTAGTACAAGCTAAATACTTGGCATCTGTATTAGTTATCATTGCACTAATATAATCTTCTACCTCCTTTATAGAAAATATCGGCTCGCTTCCCTTTTGTCTGAGATCCCAGACTTAAAATATTTTTTGTATACATAAGATTGATTTGGATAATTAGAATTTTAAGATAAATATTAATTATAATTACGTTTTACTACACCATCATCGTCGCCTGTTACAAACACATGCTCGTTGATAATCGTCATTGTATATATAGGTTGCCTAAGATATAATTGAATCGCGAAAAACACATTAGTATTGATATTTTAATATTAATAGATATCATATATGGATATATTATATACATACTCGTGAACTTTTTCGTACAATCTGACTAGTTTTTCCGTTTCTACATCGGTTATCGCTATACAGAGATCTTTTCCAGTCGAGAATAATTTCTGCCCATCCTCACTAAACTCAATATCTCGACAAGCTTTAAGATGTAATTCCATAGTCGATACGAGATTAGTTTCTTCATTGTTATATTTATACCTAATGCAAAAAGATAGATACATTTTCATTGGAACTAAGAGTGACTTGGATCAAACTTTAATTAACTTATCAATCTATACTCGCACTATTTTGTTAACATGGATAGAATTATTAAATTCTTATTGTTTCATACCAAGAATATTGAATTATATAGAATTTTAAGTAATCTATTAATCCTTAATACACACGATGATCTTTAGGTTTTTTACTACATACAATACTACATACAGGTCATTTGTATCTTAGATTAATTTTCATCACTTTTTACAAGCAAAAATTATTAAGTAATTTTTAGATATATGATACTTTAACAGTATTTATAAAGTTGTGTATTTAAGAAAAAGAAAGGTAGAAACCATTATTTTAGTCAGTGTTTCTAGAGTATTTTAAAGAAATACTAAAAATTAATTTAATTAAAAATTAAAAGAAAATAATTAAATTAGTCACATATTAAATTATATTTTAAATTGCTCTAAAATATATTCTAAAATATTAAACTTACATGAAAACATCTCCTGTGATACTAGCTATCCCTATAGTATCCAATTTAGGGTGGAAACATATATCTGTTATCATATCTTCTAATGTAACAGAGGGCGGATGATTCCTATGCATTGAGTTAATAGACTCTTCTTCGTTATTGTCTTTATTGTGTTCGGACAATAGCCCTTTTAGATGAGTTTAAAAGATTTTTTTTAAGATAAATTATATTTTATATAACAATCTATACACACAAAAGAAAAATTAAAAAAAGGGATTACCTGCTGAAGTAGAGGCTTTTGACTTCTTAATAACAGGAACATTATCACTATCATTGTCTGATACAGATTCGCTTGTTGAACTCGCATCATCACTGCTTGTATTCATAATGTAACTCCCAATTCTGATAAAATCTTATCAAATCTGAAAGTTTTTTTTCCAGAAATTATAAAATGACAAAATTAAAAATCTTAGAATATTTTAGAATTTATATATACGAATTCTGAGAAAAGATGTAAACTTTCTCAGTATTTTTGAAGTGTTCCAATTTGTACAAAATTTAGAGATATAAACTTTTAGACCCAGTTTCACGGTTAACTCTTGACCGAGGTTCTTATTCCTCATCCCTTTCCAATTCTAGAATTAAAAAGAGATAAAGAATAAGTTAAACCTCGGTTAATTAAAAATTAACCGTGAATTGTAAAACTGAACCTTATTAGAAATATGTTATAAACACATTGATTTACCTATTTTCGAGTGCATTAGAAAAAAGAATGATACTTAATGCTTTCTCGAAACTTTTTTCAAATATAATCAAATTATAAATTACAAAAAATAGCTTAACTGTGTAACAATTTACAACTCTGTAATCTCTGTACACCTGTTATAAATATCATCAGTTATCACGCCACACGCGGAATCACAATTGAGGTTATGTTCTAGCTATAAGAAGAAAGATACCTCTGGTGCACCTGACGCAGCTGACCTTCGTTTGCTTCTTTTCCGATTTTATTGATTTTTGACAAGAAAAAACAATTACTAGAATTGCGATTGACTTGACAGAGTACGAAACAAACACGAAATGACTGAAAATTACGTAAATATCACAATTCGCAATTAATTATATCTTAACCTCAAAAAGATTAGGAAAGATATTGTTTATTTTACGCGACTTGCGGACAAGAAATGCGAGATGTATCCTGCAAATCACAAAACTATATTCGTGTTAGATCATACGCCGTATTTTGGCATCTCCACCGAGTCCCCGCTGGAATTTGACTTTCTGAAGAGCAGGGGACAGAATCTAATCCCGTTAGCACCGGTCTGTAAGTCTTTATGGACCACCAGCGTCGAAGCTTCGTTGGAGTATTGTCGCATTGTATGGGACCTCTTCCCAATAGGCAAATTGGTATGGAGAAACAGACTTTCCAGATAACATTTTGCATGCAAAAGCAAACTTGCTAGCAATTGTTACTGTCATGTTGCCATGATAATAGCAGAAATATTATTGAATTAAACTTTTACTTGCATATTAGCAGAAATCATATTTGTACTGCTGATAATACATAACAGTTGTTGTAATTTTGTCAAAATATTGCCACATAATCATATTTTTATGGGGTTGCTGGACTCAATTTGTGTTTTCTTTTGTTTGCAATATTGCATCAAATAAAGAATTCATATTGTTGGCAATTTAATTGCAACATATTTTAGCAAATTGTTAGAAAATCACAATAAGAAACACAGAGAATGTAGTATAACATAGTGAATCATTTTAGTTTTGTTTAACGTTGGCAAACAACAAGGATATAATGATTCACTTACATGATTTATTCTTTTTAACTGAATTTTTTATATGTTTTATTTTCCTTCTTTTTCTCTTTAAGTTGAAAAATATGAATTGTTCAACTAAACAGAACATATCTATAATTTATGATAGTCTGTAGTATTGTTACAATTGTTACATTGTCTTTATTGTCATTATTATTTTTTCAGATTAGATTTGTTGTAACCGACCGTGCAGCTTATGTGCTGAATTCATGGAGCCCCCTACAGCAGAATTTAAATCATGCAAGTGACCCTTTCAAATTTCTATACTTATGGAATAATGAATATCTAATTAATAAGATACAAATGTCTAAGATTATTAAATGGAATGTATTTCTTTACCAAGTTTGTATTTAATAAAAAAAAAAAATGGAACTGATTTTATTTCTAGATAATGAATGGCACTGCCATTTTAGGAGTGCCAACGAAAACACCGGAACCTGGGGAGGATTATTCAGTGATACATGGTCTGCGCGTAGCAATTGAGACATTGAATGAGTGTTCTGAGATACAACACGAGAAAAGAACTTCTCTAAATGAAAACACTAACAAATTGATAAATCGAGGCAGGGTAATATGCATTACAAGTGCACGTGATAACAGCAACATGAAGAACTTAGAAAACATATTTTTAAATGAATTAGCACAAGAAAACAAGAATGCACTATCTTCAGATAAGTTAGTATTTTCTATAGATATTATAAATTATTATAATATTTTAAATTTTGTTCTAATTTACAGTTTGGTTCCTGTTGATTATTGTCATTTAGTTATACTGAACATATATCCTAATAATATTGAGTCTCAAGTCACTAGCCAAGGTCCTCGAGAGGTAAGCCTTTAATAATTTATTTGTTATGTATATATATATATATAATAATTTAGAAATTTTTTAGGTATCATCATTTCTTACAGTAGAAGTACATTCAATTAAGGCTTCATCGCTTCATTCCAAACTATCTCATCTAATTTTATCTCATTATGATTTGGCCAGCACTACGGTAACGGGTATACCTATGAAAGAGGAGCAAAACGCCAGTTCGTCTGCCAATTATGATGTAGAGATATTTCATTCGTCAGCTGCACATACCGCAATTTTGAAAGGTTTAGTTAAAAGAATTTCTTTTCCAAAAAATCTTCAAATTTCTTTAGATACTTAAAGTTTTGTTGGTTGGTTATAGGTAATCCGCAAGATTCGGCATTGATAAAGACATTCAGGCGTTTTGAAGAAGGATCGGAATATGAGACAGTCACGTTGAAGTGGTGCACGCCGCGCGGTTGTAGCGCGTCGGAGATGCAGAACTGCACGGCAATGTACCGAATCACACCAGTGGATGTCAATAGCCGACCATCATCTTGTTTAATTAATTTTCTATTGAACGGTAGATCAGTAATGTTAGAAATGGCCAGAAAGGCCGGTGGAAAAACCATCTCTCATTTATTAGCAGCGCACGGTGGCGAGATTTTTATTCATACATTATCTACTGCTCGAAGTATACTGGAGGATCCACCTTCTATTAGTGAAGGATGTGGTGGTCGTGTCACGGATTATAGAATAACCGTAGGATGTTTTTGTGATTACTAATGTTTTGTATTACATAATAATTAAGTTTAATTAATTATCCCATTTATATTAATTTTATCATTATTTTACTATCATGTATTAAAACTTCTGTATGAATATATTAATTCAGTTAATTTCATACAATCTTGATAAATATTTATTTTTTATTAGGATGTGACTTGTGATACAACTGTCTTAATTCGATAATATTTTTGTTACAGGATTTTGGCAACCTCATACGAAATAACGTATTAGTACCTCTAAAACGTACTTCCAGTTCTAATACTGATGGTCTAATAGGAAAAATGAGATCAAGACTAGAACGTCATACTAAATATTGGCCCATGAATTTTTCCCGTACTCTTATGTTTAATTTAAATGTTTGTATATATAGAAAAAATATTAATTTTATAATTATTATATTATAATAATAGAGTAAAAAAATATTAATAAGTTTTAAAATATTTTGGTTAAATCTTAATTTACTTTAAAAAAATATTTTAAATTATTTTATAATTTATAAAAATTTAGAACGTTATAATATTAGAATTTTGAAGATCTTATAATTAAATATTAATTTTTTCAAATCAAGAAAAATTGACATCAGGTATTTTTAAATTTTTCCGTATAGCTGATAGAGCCACTTCCAGAATTAATGGTGAAAGATGAGCTCACCACGGAAGAAGTGCTCCAGTGCAAACAAATAATTTTTAGCTTGCTTGGGTTAGAGGCAAAACACGAAGCTTTACCTTTGCCAAGCATCGGTGGAGGTCGCGGTGGGAAAGGAGTACGCAGAGAAGAACATTATCGTTTACTATGGGATGAGATAGAAATGTTCCTTAAACATCATGCCAACAACTCGGCTGCACATGCTGAAGTCCTTAACTGTTTGTTGGAGATTAGGAATAAAGACGAAAAGGACAAAGTGGAACTCGATCAGGCTTTGCGAGAATTAGATAGGTAATTAAGAAATTAAATTTGATTTGTAAATTACAATTTATTTCTTATTAAGCTAAATTGTAATTTTTGAATTGCTGTAATGAATGTACATTTATGTTCTTCCGTATTTTTAATTTGGTGCTACTTCTTAACTCTAATCTGAAATTTATTGACAGGTGAATGTCAATTTTACTGCACTTTATAGTAAATACTACAAAGGAAAAAAAAAAGAATGTTCAGTCATACAAAGTGTATTGTAATTGATTTTAATACGTTATTAAAAAAGTCACATAAATTTATTTTTTACTATTATTAGAATTTTATTTTATTAAGTAAAATTTTGTGTAAATTTTTGCTGTAAATTGATTTATAAGCAGAAACAAATGAAAATTTATTTGTGTTGATGTATGCTAAAAAGAGATATAATAGAAATTGATAAGTCTGAATAATAAAAGTTTATCTAAACTCTGATTTAAACAATGATCTCCTTATAGCTTCAGCAAGGAAGACGGAGCTGCCAGAGTCAGCGTGATTAGAGCAACAACAGATTCACCGATGTCGCCGCCGGCGAGCGTATCGATACCCCTAGCCAAACAGTTGCATAAGGGTAATATTGCTGCGTCAAGGAGTCTCCTGGACATCTGGTTGCAACGCAGCGCCCCAAAAGAAAGGAAACCGGATTTTCATGGTAGAGTTAGTAGTGATGGTCTTAAAGCGAAGTTGTATCCCAACTTGAAGGAAGTTGGAAGAGAACCCAGAGAGGCCATGCTGGAGGGATAACAGACAAAAGAGACAGAGTGCATCGCATAGAGACGTCACATATGTGACATTGTAAATATATGTAACTGTATTGAATATATTAATATATTTATTCAACAGTATCATTTGTAACTGTATGGATGTGCTTGACCAGTTAAACTACATGGAAAATTCGACGATAAATTAAACATTTTTTACATTAAAAAGTAAGTGTATATTTCTGGTTTGTTAGTTTTATGTCAACAATCCTGAATTAATGTATAATTCATAAGATTATCATTTTTAATTATTTAGATTCTAAATTTTAAAGAAAAATATTTCATAATTTTTTAGACATTCTATATATACAATAATAAACAG